TKKKKTYMMYTWAAAAAAAACCTAAAAAATAAATATTAAATTTTTTTWAAAGTCTAGTTATATTCAGCAAACTGAGTACAATGATACCCAAACGTGAGATCTTTTCAACAATATGCTTTATTGGAGGACACAGTGTCAGGTGAAGGCAACCAGACAGGTAGGGGTGACACTATATCTTAACAAAATTTGTCAGTATCCAGGTCCTTGTGCTCCTTATTGTATGGAGCCTTGGAAAAGCAGATGGCAGCTTCGCGGTCRCAGTTACAGATGAAAGCCTCGCATTCTTTGTTTTTGCCTGGAGAGGGATAAGTGGAGAAGATTGAGTCAAAGCAGACYCTTCTTTTTACAGTCCAAGGGCAGGAAGAATTAACTGGAATAAGCTGGTGGCCAGCCCATTCGTGAAGATTTAGGATTGAGAGATGAAGCAAATCTAAACCAGATCAATTGAGATGGCCAGTACCACTTGAGTTCCTGATAAACAATGAATATAATCGTTGGGACATACTTACATTAAAAATTTATTTGCTGTTTATCTGAGAGCCTGCAATAACTGTCTTTTGGAAAGTCCTATTTCAATCCTTACAGGAGCTCACTGATTTTTAAAACCTGTGTAGTTACAGATCTCTGATAACACAGGCAAGCAACGATAAGCACCATGGGAAACATTAAAACATATACTTAAGGTAGTAAACTATTGTACATTTCAATTTAGTTAAATTGGATAATCTAATTTCTCTACCTTAGTAAAGTACACATTTCTGGGCTGGGAATATAGCTCACTTGGTAGAGTGCTTGCCTTGCATGCATGTTGGGAGGTTTCCAGATAAACATGTTATCCCTGTTCATACAGTTGGATTTAATTATACTGGATATAGTGGGAATCTACCTATATATTCTACCACAGTGAAAATACTGGCTGTTTAAAAGTGGCCCCAGAGAAAAACATGGCTTATGGGAGAGCCAGAGGAGCCAAAATCACTGGCCCCTAGGATTTAAAAAAGTATGTCCTGACAGTTACATAACCACGTTTTCCATGGAAATCCACCAATACCTTACTCTCCTAATCATACTACAATAGAATTGGATGCCTTTCCTAATTAGGTGGAGTGTGCCAATATCATGCCAGGCAATATAATGATTCCAGCAGCAGTGGGTATGTTCAGGACTGTCTCATAGATTTGAGAAGAGGCACCCACATCAGAAATTTACAGCTCCTGGAGGATTTATTAGTAGTATCCTGACCTTCAGTGGTGGTGGCATACACAGAGATCTGTGGCATTAGGTGTCTTAGATTTCATCAACTACACTTGCAGCTCCCTAACTGATCTTGTGTATAAGAGCTAGAAAGTGGCTCACTGATATGGCCTGTGGGCCTGTGTACAATCTCCTTATTTATTTATTTATTTATTGGCGGGGGGTGGGGGGGTGGGGGGG